AGGACAAATAGCATAGAATTCCACTTATATGAGCTACCTAAAGTAGTCAGATTCATAGCGAAAGATAGAATGCTGGTTGACAGGGGCTAGGGGAAGGGGGAGGTAGGGGTCAGTGTTTAATGGATATAGAGGTTATATGGAGAGATTAAAAAACTATGGGTCCGGATGGCGGTGATGGTGACAGGACAATGCGGGCATATTTAAGGTGAGACCACTGTATACTTAAAATAGGTTAAAATGATAAATTTTATGCTGTGTATATTTTACCACGATAAAGAAGAAACATTTCAACACTGCTGTGCCTATATCTAGGAATAGTCTGCCACTGTTTTGATATAATATTGATATAATAAACAATCTTCCTGCTTTGAGAGACGCTAACTCAGTTCTCCGTTTCTAAAGTCGCTCTTACTACACCAGAGACAGGTCAGAACAAGAATATTGTCTGGGGATGCATTACATCTGTGTAGTACCTTATATTTGAAGGAGGATGTGTATGCATCCTAACGCATTTAATCCTTACACTGAATGAAGAGAAGAAAAGGAAAGATAACATTGCCTTCCCAGTGGCCGAAGAATAATAATTATATGACCATATGCTCTGAATCCTGTTACCATGTTTGTGGCTCTTTACCAGGCTCTTATTTCCAAACGTTCGTTGTGTTTAAACTCTGGTCGGCTCTTCGTGTTTTTGGACTTCAGCCTCTATAAAAATACCCTTTCATTTGGGGGTTGAAGGTGCTTTTCCCTAAAATTCATTGTTTTAGGTTGCAGCTATTCAAATTTTGATCTGAATTCTCGAAACTTTCAGTCTGATTTCAATAAAACCAAGCAACTAGGTTGTTCTCTCTTTGCCATGCGAGAACTGTTTCGTCTCGGGTCTTAAATTTCCTTCTTTATTGTTCTTCTTGGACTGGATGGCTAAACGGGAGGAGTCTGGCAAAACACCATCGCTGCCCCTGGTAGTTTGACAAGCCCCCCTAGAACACATAGCTGGGTGGGAGCACCCTCCAGCTTCTCAGCACGCGGCTAGCCTTCACTGTCCGTGGAAGCGTGCCATCGATGAGTGAGCTCAGAACCCCAGCTCTTGTGCATCAGAATGTGCACCCAGAAGTTTTCTCTGTCTGCGGGAAGATGTGGTACCTTACGGAAGAGGGGTGGTATTGACACCCCCTTGTCGAACAAGCCTTTCTGAATCTATTACCTAGTAACTTAAATAACATTCCCTGAGGCAATAATGGGTAACAGGATTTTTTTTTAGTTTTATTTTTAAGTAATCTCTACCACCTGGGTGTGGCTCAGTTGGTGGAGCCCCCGACTTCAGCTCAGGTCATGATCTCCTGGTTTGTGGGTTCAAGCCCCTCGTCAGGCTCTGTGCTGACAGCTCAGAGCCTGGAACTTGCTTCACATTCTGTGTCTCCCTCTCTCTCTCTGCCCCTCCCCCTCTTTTGCTCGTTCTCTCTGTCTCTCTCCCTTCCCTCTCTCTCTCTCAAAAATAAATAAACTTTTTTAAAAAATTTAAAAAAAGGGGTGCCTGGGTGGCTCAGTCGGTTAAGCGTCCGACTTCGGCTCAGGTCACGATCTCGCGGTCCGTGAGTTCGAGCCCCGCGTCGGGCTCTGTGCTGACTGCTCAGAGCCTGGAGCCTGTTTCCGATTCTGTGTCTCCCTCTCTCTCTGCCCCTCCCCCGCTCATGCTCTGTCTCTCTCTGTCTCAAAAATAAATAAATGTTAAAAAAAAAAAAAAAAAAAGAGTCCCAAGCTCTACCGACTGACCCAGCCCAGAGCCCCATGGGTGACAGGCATTGAGGCTTTGCAATGCTTGACCCTCCCCTCTGTGAGGTATCTGCAGAATGTACCCTGGCTGGTTAAACACTGAATGTTCAGAGATGGTCCCTGTGCTTCCTCTTTCAAGCTGTTGCAGCTTGAGGTGAAAACAGTGAAAACAGTGGACAGTCTCCTCGCCCCTGTATTTGCTGCACGGATTCTGATGCCAGCTGTCCCGCCTCACGCATATAAAAAAATTTAGGAGCACTGGCTTCCCTTTCAAATGCTTACAGCATATTTTGGGACTCCCTTCCCTTGTGTTTTGCTGTAAAATTCATACTCCAGTATGCTCCGAGCAGTGGAAGAAGTGAAGTACTTAAAAAGATAATGCACACCCACCATTTGGGCAACACCAGAGAACTTTTTTCTTTTGTGCATATCTGGTTTATTGCTTCTCGTCTCATACCTCACATTTATGAAGCGCCTACTCTGGGCCAGAAATCGTGGCGAGCACTTCACGTGCGTTACGTTCCATAGTCCCCACCGCAGACCGGTGTGATAGGTACTAACATTCTGATTTTACAGCAAACAAAACAAAAACCTTGCAAGGTAAAGAGAGTAAGTGGGCATATAGCAAGCAAGTGGCCTATGTTGTTCAACGGGTTGTTTTTTTTCTTTTTTTTTTTTTTTA